CTATTCCAACATTATAAATTGACATTCAAAAAAATGGTAATTCTAAATAGAAAATACCTTTATAACCCATATCTATCTCAAAATCAAAATCCAAATCACCATAACAATAAAAATAATAAATTCAATTACTCACACTCTAATTTGATTTAAAATATAGAACTATAAAATTACCTGTATTTCTTGAGGATACATCTTTCACATTGACATATAAATTATTATAAGAATTAAGTATATAAACAACATCTACTATTATTTAAAAAACTGCTGATATCATTTAATAAACAATAGAAATGTATATGACAAGATTATATGATTGGATCAATTATAATAGATTAGGTAAAATTGATAGTGCCTTATGGAAAGCATAAGCTTATAAAAATAATAGTTTTCTATAAGATTTAGAAGATGATATGTAAGTAGATTTATTATCTGAATATTAATTAATAGATAAAAGTTGTACAATAGGAAAGATTAAATTATATTAATCTGGTTAATATATAGGTGATATTGCAGTTTATAGGAATTAAGATCCATAAGAATGTATACGAAATTTCTATTATTCTACTGGATTGCATTATGATGAATAGAAATTTAATAGACTTGTAAATGAAGTCATTTAGATTTAATTATTGAGTGGTGAAAGTATAGATGAAAAATATACAAAGGATGATATTGTAACTACTGTTAAAGTGAGTCATGATAAAATTGTGAAAGTGAATGCTAAAAGAGTTTGTAAAAATAAAATATATAATATTTTAGAATTAGAATCTGGATAAAATTATGATCAAATTAAGTGTTAATCATAAATTAACACCTTAATAGGCTATGAAAGTAAAAGATTAAATATAGAAAAGTTTTTACATTTGATTGTTTAATCTATACTCAATATTATAATCAAATCGGTTTATTTGGATAATCATTTTTTTTTAATTAATATTATACAGTTTTTTCTGGTACCTGTTCTTTTAATTTTACATTCATCAATTAACTTTTCTCTCTTCTTAATTCCATTATCTGAATAAATAACCAAGACTGAAGGGTGAAAGTCAACTTTCTTGTAGTTTTCTAGAGAAATAGTTCTCTTTTTTATATAACTATAATTATCTGTAGATTCAGTTATAGATGGTTTAATCTTAGCTAACTTTAAGGATGGTCTCATTAATAAGTTTCTTTATATTACAGGTTAATTAGATTATATATTTCCAGACAATTTCAAATTTAAAAGATCTTAAATAGTGTGTTATCTAGTTAGTTAATTTTTTGGTTCAGATTGAATTGTTTAGGAAGGATGATATCTTTTTAATTAGAATTGGAACTAATAGTTGTTTTTAAATGAAGAATTATTCAAATTAAGCATTATTTTTAATGATATAATCAATTAATTGTCATCAATATTCCTTTTAATTTTCTAAAATTTAATTTAATATTTAATCATATTATATTTTTTCTAAAGGAATACAATAATTCTATATAGAATAATAAAAGATACCTCATAAAACAATTACCGGTTCTTAAAATCTACAATCAATTCTTATTCTGATATATTGAGTATTTTTGATAATGATTTAACAGTGACTTCTTAATTTTTATTTGCAAATTTCATAAAACTATGATCGAGATTATGATGAGTTAAGTATATAGATTTATTAGATATCATCAAAATGAAATCTTCTAATACTAATTCATTTTTATTCTCTATTAAATTCTATATAATTTTGATATTCTACTCTTAACCTTATGCTTGTTTAAGTCTTCTACAAAATTCTTCTAATTCTTCAACATTCAATTTTCCATCTTTATCTTTATCCAATATATCAAATATTCTATGTCCTACTTGATAATGAGAGTGTTCATAATTATTTATTAGATAAATCATTAGTTTTTTCTATAAATTATCATGGAAATTCTAAGTAAAAAGATGTTTGAAATGACAATTCAAATTCTAATTTTAATGATTCTATATAAATTAATGTTTTAAACATTCTTCTATAGTAAGTCTTTAAGTTTTATCAGGATTTAGCATATCAAAAATTAGATTTTCAAAATCTTAAGATATTTCATCATATATCTCTTATTTAGCTGTCCATCTCAAGATTGCTTACTTAAATTCTTGAATTGTTGTCAAATCTTGATCTCCTTCATAAATTAAATTTCTAGTCATTAATTGATAAGCAATGATTCCTAAAGACCATATATCATTTGATTTATGAGCATGATGGGAAGTTAAAGCTTCAGGAGATGCATATTAAATAACTTATAATATAGGCTCTCTCTAAGGTTTATGTAAACATTTTAAATCAGTCAACTTAACCAAATAATTTTACAAATCGTAATAAAATGAAAAACTATCGATTGTCAGTTTATTATGGTTTAACTTGTTTTAGTGTAGAAAATTAACAATCTCAAACATTTACTCCAAAATGTTACATACTACCTATTCTGATAGTTTGTGATGCAACAATTAGGATAATGGACCACCTGTACAATATTCACTCATTATCTAAAATTATTTTCCCCAAATAAAGATTTCATAAACCTTTCCAATTTGATAAAACTCCTACATTCACTATACTAATTACCAAATTAGTTTTTTAGAGCCACTCTATGTAGTCCTTTCCATCTTAATCCAAAGGTAATTATTCCATAACGACTAGTTAGCCATCACTGTTATGCTACATAACTCTGAGTGTAGATTTATTGGGTATCTTCACAATCCCTTTATACACTGAGTAATCTTTTGAAGCTATTGATTCAGTGATTTTGATTTTCAATTAAGGTATATTGGATCCTACTTTTTTATTGTTTTCTAAATAAATAAATTGTAAATTCTACAAGATCGTTTATCAGTCTAGAGTTTATCATGATTATATTCAAAATAGCTCAAAGTCCCTGACTTTCTAAACTTCCTTTAAACGGTTTGGTTTAAATTAGGTCTTTTTTCATTTTAATTAGAAGCAAATTCTCTTTAAGTTTATTGAACATCTGCTGTATTAGTCAAAGCTGGATTAAAATTATCTGTAGTCTTATTCTTATCTTAAGATTTTTTTGCTGAATTACAAACCCCCATTAAAATATTAATGTTTATCATTGATATTATTTATGGATTTAATAACAATAGATAATTCAAATTATGTTGTTTTGTAATGATTATATTGTAAATTCAAATCATTTAAATTTGAAATCTTATTAACGATAAATGATATATATTTGAAATTGATTGAAAATTCATAAATTATTATATTCTTTTTAGATTCTTAAATATATGTAATATAGCTTTAATTTAAGATTAATATAGAATAAAGAGTATCTCTATACCAAAATAACCTGTTTTAATTTGATTAATGAAAATTAATAAAAAATTATTATTTCAATTTGCATAAATTGTATATGCATCCTTTTTTTTTAACTTTTAAAGATGCTAACATTGAGGAATCCTACCAAATAAAAAATTAACATTCCAAAAGGTTACTCACTTTTATCTCAATAAGTAGTGGATTTATATTAGCCTTTTTGATAAAAGTTATCCAATCAATATCTGAAGACAACATGTATGCCTTTTATCTCAATATTACCATTCTATCTTATCTATGCTTACAATTAGGGTTTTTTTGGAAAAAAAATAAGTATCTTAGACTAGGTATTATAATACTTAATCATTTCGTGACGATTTACTTTATAGTATTTGAAGATAGATCAGAAGTTGATAATTAAATGGCTATGTTATAAGGAGTTAATTAAATGGCAGCCAGTTATCTACTAATTTTAACAGGAGAATATCTAGATGGAATGTTAACTATCATATCCCTATAAATATTTAGAATCAGTTGGGTTTTAGTTAAAAGTGAATCCATCCAATATTCAGCTCCTATTGCCTCTTTGTTACTCATCTTATACATAAATTATTACAATTTTTTATATAATAAAGCAAAGCGCTCTTAATATTTACTAACTTTGGCAGATTGTCGATGGGAAGAAATTCTATAAAAACTATAAATTCAATAATCTTACATGATTCTATAATTTTAAGAGGAAACCTTACGTTATACAATCAAGAATTTTAGGAATTGTGAGAAAATGTTTAAAACTTAAGAAGAAGCTGAGAATTTTCTTAGATTAGCTACTCATCATAATAATTTACTATAAAATATTATTCATAAAAGTATGATTGAATTCAAAAAGACTACACATAATAACTTTAATGAAACTATTTTAATAAACTATTAAAAATAAACCATCAGAACTGAGATTTCTATTTATAAAGGTGATTAACCAACCATACTTTTGATATTTAGAAATTTCTTTCTTGAAAACAAAATAAATCCCATTTCAATACAAAAGCAATTCGGAAATGCCATAAAATTGATTGTTAAAATATTAGAAAAAATAAGAGGAGCATAATTTTTTGAAATTTAATATTTAATGATATAAAGAAAACTAATTCTTGTTCATTTAATGATTAATGTGTAAAATAAATTAAAAATTAAGACAATAAATATTAATGATTTCTTTAATCATGCCATATTACTATATTAAGATTTAAAAATTAAATTAAACTATAAATGCAATGCTAAAATTGAAACAATAGTTAGCATTTTATAAATACTTATTATTTTAATTTTTGAAAATAGATTAAGTGATATTTTGAGTATTACAACAAAAATGACATCAGATGAACATGTCCAATGTATATTTTAAGGTAGATTTAACTTAGACAAATTGATAAGATTTAAAAAGGCTTATGAATTGCCATGGCTATTAATATTTGAAACATTAGATCTTGATGAAGAGAGTAATTAATATAATAATCTTAGTACTCACATTTACTTTTCATAAAAATATTGGAATTCCTTTTGGAGCTTGATTAAATCTACTTTGGATATTAATTTTATTGTAATTTTAAATATAAAATTATATATGTTTTAACCATAATTAGAAACCATTTAAAAATTGAAGAATAATTATTTTAATACTTAGAGAATATCAATTTTTTTAAGTANTAAATGGCTATGTTATAAGGAGTTAATTAAATGGCAGCCAGTTATCTACTAATTTTAACAGGAGAATATCTAGATGGAATGTTAACTATCATATCCCTATAAATATTTAGAATCAGTTGGGTTTTAGTTAAAAGTGAATCCATCCAATATTCAGCTCCTATTGCCTCTTTGTTACTCATCTTATACATAAATTATTACAATTTTTTATATAATAAAGCAAAGCGCTCTTAATATTTACTAACTTTGGCAGATTGTCGATGGGAAGAAATTCTATAAAAACTATAAATTCAATAATCTTACATGATTCTATAATTTTAAGAGGAAACCTTACGTTATACAATCAAGAATTTTAGGAATTGTGAGAAAATGTTTAAAACTTAAGAAGAAGCTGAGAATTTTCTTAGATTAGCTACTCATCATAATAATTTACTATAAAATATTATTCATAAAAGTATGATTGAATTCAAAAAGACTACACATAATAACTTTAATGAAACTATTTTAATAAACTATTAAAAATAAACCATCAGAACTGAGATTTCTATTTATAAAGGTGATTAACCAACCATACTTTTGATATTTAGAAATTTCTTTCTTGAAAACAAAATAAATCCCATTTCAATACAAAAGCAATTCGGAAATGCCATAAAATTGATTGTTAAAATATTAGAAAAAATAAGAGGAGCATAATTTTTTGAAATTTAATATTTAATGATATAAAGAAAACTAATTCTTGTTCATTTAATGATTAATGTGTAAAATAAATTAAAAATTAAGACAATAAATATTAATGATTTCTTTAATCATGCCATATTACTATATTAAGATTTAAAAATTAAATTAAACTATAAATGCAATGCTAAAATTGAAACAATAGTTAGCATTTTATAAATACTTATTATTTTAATTTTTGAAAATAGATTAAGTGATATTTTGAGTATTACAACAAAAATGACATCAGATGAACATGTCCAATGTATATTTTAAGGTAGATTTAACTTAGACAAATTGATAAGATTTAAAAAGGCTTATGAATTGCCATGGCTATTAATATTTGAAACATTAGATCTTGATGAAGAGAGTAATTAATATAATAATCTTAGTACTCACATTTACTTTTCATAAAAATATTGGAATTCCTTTTGGAGCTTGATTAAATCTACTTTGGATATTAATTTTATTGTAATTTTAAATATAAAATTATATATGTTTTAACCATAATTAGAAACCATTTAAAAATTGAAGAATAATTATTTTAATACTTAGAGAATATCAATTTTTTTAAGTACAATTTCTTTTACATAAGAGTACTATATTATATCTTAATTAATAATAATAATTATTTATTTTTTATTTCAAATATCAAAAACATCCTTTTATGGTATTTTTTTATCTGAAATTCTACAAAATGGACAACACTTTTTTTAGACATATTCAAATTCATGTTCATCAATATAAAAAAATCTTCCACAATCAGGACAAACATGAATAGGTTGTTCTCCAATCATATTCTTATAATATTTGACATCAATTGATCTACAGTATTATCTATAATCTACAATCAAGACCTCTTCTGGTGATAGAGATTGAATTGTAGCTTCATCCAATTCAACTACTAAATATTAATCTTATGATGTTTGTTATTATTAAATAATTTCATTGATTTTATCTTGAAATAATTATCCTGGTCTCTTATTGATAAATACTTTTTCACTATTTAATAATTTTTCCACATCTTCTCTGGATAATGAATTATCAACTTTAAATTCAACAAGTGGTAAAGTAGAGAAGCTAATAAAAGAAGAAAATAGAGGATGTAAACAAGCATTACATACAGACAATTTTTCAGTTACATTAATAATAGCATTGTAAGTCTAGCATCTCATACATAATGGTAATTTAGATTCATCATCTGTATATGGTTTTGATCTAATTAATAATGATTGAAGATCTATTTCTTCACTCCATTCTGCAGGTATTTTGAATTGCTAAAAAAAGAATATTTAAATAAAATATTTACATTCAATTTTTCATAGCATGAACGAGCAGTTTTGAAACATTAAAGTTGTGAAGCACATTTGGCTAAAGCATAATAGACATAACTCATTTTAATTCCCTAATATACACTTTTCCATTTCGATATAATGAATCTGGCAGAATTCATAATCTATATGAAATAAGCTTCTCCTGATAAAGGTTGAAATGGTTCACAAATGAAATTATGTATCTTTTAATATGCATAATAAACATCTGCTAAATCACTATAATCACGATATTATGTAATAGCTTTTACATCATCACCCGATGGATTTTAATAATCTTGAATTTAAGATAAACAATCTATAGCTAAATTCCATAAATATTAACTAGCATCATGATACCTTTGTTCTTCAATACAATTTTTGGCCATATCTTTTGTCATTTTCATTGTTATATCAAATCTACCTGCACTCTTATAAGCTTTGAGAGCATCTTCATAGCGATCATTTAATAATAAGTAATCAGCATAAGGTACTTTGGCTATTTCAAGAAGTTCTTTATTAGATCTTCCAATTTAAAAGGCTTCTTGCCATTTTTGAAATTCAACATGTAAAATCATTAGGTTTTTTAAATCATTTAATTTAAGATAAGCTTCTTTAGCACCTCCATGATGTTTAAGTTTTTTGAAATAATTAGCACATAAAACTATATTATCTGAATTTTCTTGTTTATCTAACATTCTACAAACATTTAATAATCCATCCAAATATTTATTCTATCCATATAATTCAATAGCTTTCTTATATTCTTAACAAGTGACAAATAAATCAGCTGCAGCTTTCCAATCTCCAGATTCTTTTGTCCATTCAGCCTGTTCTCTCAATAACATATTCATCTCTATCTTAGGAGGAGCTATATCTTATGGTTATGGTATGACTGCTTAACCTCTACCTGTTCCTGTTCTTCCTTATGATGTTGGTGCTCTAACACCAGTGCCAGTTCTACCTCCAGATGTGACAGCCCTATAAGCAACATCTCCCTTTTTAGCAAAGTCTACTTTTACAATAATTATTTACTTATAGCATCATCCCATCTTCTTAATTCTTTAAATAACTATACTGCTTTATCAGCCTACCCAACCTTTATTAATAGATTACCAGCATCCATAAATCTCCCTTGATATGCCAAAGCCTCAGCATTTAATTCATTCAGTATTTATGCATCTAAATTTTTCTTTTCATATTTCATAAGCAAATCAATGAAATGGTAATCCTTATTTCTCAAAAAACACTATAAAAATAATAGAAATTCTATTATACTCTTCTTGCTATTTCAAATTCTCCTGCTATCAAAGCCTCAATTCCTAAAGCTCTTATATCTTATTCTGTTACACCAAGACAAGCTATCTTTAAAGCATTCTAGAAATCTTTTTTTTCTAAATATCTCTACATATTTGCTGTTTATTAAATATCAATAGTTTAGACTTAATTGTTATTTTGAAGGAACAATTTACATCCTTTAAATCCTATAACATTTCCAGTTATCTTTTAATTTAAAGCTGGAAATGCTATACATTTGAAAAACAATAATCCTTTACCTGAATAAGCAATTAAATCTTCAAATTCTGAATTAAAAGCAACACCTTCAACACTCATTTCCCCAAATAAAATTTCTTTACTTATAGTATCTATTACTTATAAATTTTAATTTCCATCTATTAATGCCAATTTTCTTTTTGTTTAAGACATTGACAAATATTTGATATGTGTATTAACCTTATGAATTTAAATAGGGAATGAATTATCTAAATAGATCTTGTAAATTCCTCCATTTTCTAATCCAATCAAAACTAATTCTCTTTTAGGTGCACCACCTTAACAAGAAACAACTGTAATAGGAGATTCAAAACTCCAAGTTTTATCCATATCTCCATTAAAATTGAATGCTATTAATTTTTATCCTGCTCCAATTAAAACATTTGATGATGCCAATTAGAAATGTTCACAATCCACTCTCTTTTAAAATTTCTTAAATTATTTATATTTCATGAAATCATCTCCTTTAATTACACAAGTATAAATTAAAACTTTAATACCACATAAAATAGCCACTTTCTCTTTAAATATGGCCACTCTTTTCACTAATTCTTTACATTTAATTCTTGCCTTCTAATTAGAAATCATTGACAATATAATAGCATCTGTTAATTATTCTCTCTAAACTAATTTATCATCATATAATGCAGTAACATTTTCTTATACTAATTCCTATACAACAATGTCTCCATCATTAGTACCACAAACAATTACTGTAGATTTTGGTTTTATTTTAGTACACCATATCCAATCATTAAGAGAACAGGCTTCCATTAAGAATCCTCCCTCTCTTGTATATAGATTAATCTTATTATTATTCCCAGCTATTGCCATATATTCACCATTATATTAAAAATTTATATGTAAAGGATCAAATGGTAATTCTATTCTAGCCCCAATTTATTATCCATTACAATCAAATTAATATAATGAATTCATCCACACTCCAACAGTTAATTGAGACTATTAATATTCAGATGTTATTGGAGTCCATTCCATACACCATACTGGTCCTCCTTTCTAAGTCTAAATCTCTTTCAATTAATGTGCTTATCTATCTGTAATCACAACCAGTCCTAATGTGAAAAGTACTCAATCATACCACTCATTGTTCCAAATGATACATACTGTCCATCAGCACTCCAAGCTGAACATATTATTTTATCCTTATACTTCTACCTGTCAATATTACTCATTCCAGGAATCCATAAAGAATACTCTTAATTTGAACCTGTAAATATTTAATACATTAAAGGACTGATAGCAACACATTAAATTGCTTCACTATGTGAAAAATATTTTTCTGCATCCAACATCTTCTCACCTCTAGCAATATTGAATGCCCACACAATAACTGTTTTATCTGCACTACCTGTTACCATTTTATTTCCATCTTTAGATGCAGCCAAACAAGTGATTGTGTCTTTGTGTTATCCTCTTAAAGGTGGTCTTAACATTTCAGATTTTTATGTATCAAATAATAGTAATGCATTCCCTACAGCGGCAACCACAACATCTCCATCTAATCAAATCTCGCATTACTTTACCTTTTAAAAAAGCACAAGCAAATACTTGATTAGTTAGATTTACATTTGGCTCAGTTGGCTTATCAATTGTGTATGTCCAAAGCTCTTTTGTTTTCATTTTTAAATTATTTTATCAAATTTATTTTTATGAATTCTATTTATTATAGAACTCATTAAATATACGCATACCAATCACTTATAACAATTCTTAATTCACTTAAATATGTATATTTCAAGACACATATTTTGAATATTTGAAATTTGAATTAATATATATATATATTATATATTTTATATAATAAACATAAATTTTATTCTAATCACCTCATCCCTTTTTTTAATATTTATCTGAATTGTATATTATTTTCCTATTATATTTCATTCCATTTTATACAGAATTATAAATATAAATGCAAGCATTTTAGAAATAATACATAGATATATAATAGTAAATCTAGAAAAAATAGATTATGCATTGATTCTTATATAAATAAATATTATTAATTATCTATTCATTAACACTAAATTAAATTATTGTAGAAATATTAAGATGTAATATAAATTTTATACTTAAAATTATAAAAAAATTAAATAGTTTAATTTATATTAATAAAAATTGAATTATAAGTATTTAAGATTAAGAATTATATATGTATATTTAATTAAATGTTTTTGGTTTATTAAAAAATTAATAAGCAAATAGATATTAAGTTAGTCAGTTTGTAAATGGTTTAAATTAGACATAAAAAATCAAATTAAAATGGTTAAAAGAAAATGAAATAAATTTTATTAATATCTATTTTTAATAATGAGTATTATATAAAAAAATAAGAAACCTTCTTAATTATGATATTAGTTATGAAATATTGGTTTTCTTGATGAATGTATTAATATATAAAACAATGCAATATCAGATTCAATAAATTCGTTAACATTTCAGTTCCATTGATCACAAATTCCATCCTGTCCCAGCATTTGTTGTCACAAGACCTTTGTTTTCTTGTCGATCCCTATCTCCTTCTTTCTACAAATTACGCTCAAAGACTCCAATAAGTCCATTATCCTACTCTTTAGTGAAAATTAATCCTACACCAATAAGAGAAAATAAGTTTACTTTTAGAGGCACAGATTACACTCCAAGCAGGAAAACTCCAATCAAAGAACAAAATGAAATAAAATTAACCAAAGTGAATTAGACTCATGAAAAAATAATGAGTGAATCATAAGAACGGTTCTATCAACAGAAAAGACAATCTAACATAAATAGTAAAAGTACAGAAAAAATATCTCATTAAAATTAATTGCCAATACAATTTAAAATGTTTGACATGCCATAAGTATAGAAATAAGAATAATAACTATTTATTTAAGAAAACTCTAAACTATATTAGGAATCCAAAAACTAATTATAATATATAGGTTAAAGTGATTAATTTCAATAGTGTTATGAATAACCAATATCTAATGAAGTTTTTAATATATATCATAATAAACAAGATCATATTTAATAAAAAATAGTAAGTAATCAATATAATAATGATATTGAATAAGTAATCAAGGAATTGCCTGAGACATCAAATCCAGATGAAACCTAATAATAATAATAATCGAGATTAAAAATATGGGCATGTAACCGAAATGATTCTTAAAGTAAAATCATTAGTAGAAAAAGCAATCATAAAAGAAGTTCTAAGAAAAGTCCTTATAAAACTCCAAAGTCACCAAAAAAATAACATATTATTTATTACAACTAGATCTTTTTATATAAGCCAAGAGAGAATAATAAATAAAATAGCTCAAAACTATCTTTCAATTCTTCTTACAAGTAAAATAGTCCTAGAAAATAAAGCAAATAAATTTCTTTTATTCTCACTACTCCAAGTAAGAGAAATACAAGAGCACCTCAATAATCAAATGAGGATGATGAAATTGAAATCATAAATCTAGCTCCTGAATTTTCTAAATTAATTTGATTTACAAACAACATTATACATATTTTTATAATATATTNAAATCAAATTAAAATGGTTAAAAGAAAATGAAATAAATTTTATTAATATCTATTTTTAATAATGAGTATTATATAAAAAAATAAGAAACCTTCTTAATTATGATATTAGTTATGAAATATTGGTTTTCTTGATGAATGTATTAATATATAAAACAATGCAATATCAGATTCAATAAATTCGTTAACATTTCAGTTCCATTGATCACAAATTCCATCCTGTCCCAGCATTTGTTGTCACAAGACCTTTGTTTTCTTGTCGATCCCTATCTCCTTCTTTCTACAAATTACGCTCAAAGACTCCAATAAGTCCATTATCCTACTCTTTAGTGAAAATTAATCCTACACCAATAAGAGAAAATAAGTTTACTTTTAGAGGCACAGATTACACTCCAAGCAGGAAAACTCCAATCAAAGAACAAAATGAAATAAAATTAACCAAAGTGAATTAGACTCATGAAAAAATAATGAGTGAATCATAAGAACGGTTCTATCAACAGAAAAGACAATCTAACATAAATAGTAAAAGTACAGAAAAAATATCTCATTAAAATTAATTGCCAATACAATTTAAAATGTTTGACATGCCATAAGTATAGAAATAAGAATAATAACTATTTATTTAAGAAAACTCTAAACTATATTAGGAATCCAAAAACTAATTATAATATATAGGTTAAAGTGATTAATTTCAATAGTGTTATGAATAACCAATATCTAATGAAGTTTTTAATATATATCATAATAAACAAGATCATATTTAATAAAAAATAGTAAGTAATCAATATAATAATGATATTGAATAAGTAATCAAGGAATTGCCTGAGACATCAAATCCAGATGAAACCTAATAATAATAATAATCGAGATTAAAAATATGGGCATGTAACCGAAATGATTCTTAAAGTAAAATCATTAGTAGAAAAAGCAATCATAAAAGAAGTTCTAAGAAAAGTCCTTATAAAACTCCAAAGTCACCAAAAAAATAACATATTATTTATTACAACTAGATCTTTTTATATAAGCCAAGAGAGAATAATAAATAAAATAGCTCAAAACTATCTTTCAATTCTTCTTACAAGTAAAATAGTCCTAGAAAATAAAGCAAATAAATTTCTTTTATTCTCACTACTCCAAGTAAGAGAAATACAAGAGCACCTCAATAATCAAATGAGGATGATGAAATTGAAATCATAAATCTAGCTCCTGAATTTTCTAAATTAATTTGATTTACAAACAACATTATACATATTTTTATAATATATTATCATTTTAAGATCGGATCCTCACTTTTTTGATACTTATATAAATAACTATTCAAAAAGTTCTATAGCATTTTCAACCTAAAATAGTATTGAATTATTCATACATTTTTATATCCTGGAAAATGATTAATATCAATGATATAAAATTCCTAATTCATTCCTATTATATCAAATCCAAATAAATGTAGTTTAAATTCCTTTGATATTATTGAAGATAATAATTCCATTTACTTTTACAATTAAGCTTCATTAGAACATTCATGAATTCCCTCATCAACTTATTTGAGACACTCTGAAACATTTTTAAACAAGTCTTTTTGTGTGTCAAAAACATAAAAACCCTAAAAAATATAAATATCTTTGTTACCTCTTCAAATTTGAAATTATTAATTTCGATATTCGGTATAGACTTACGTTTTTGTACTATCACTTTACTCCCTAGTTGATATATTTTGTATATAATGCTGTTATGGTTAATAATTTACTACAAGATTAATTCTCCTCTAATCTAAAAATAATCTCATACTTAAATTATTTTTGCTTAAACAACTCTTTGAGTCCTTTTTCATTAACAACTATAGCCATAATATGGCAATTAGCAGTCAGTGCTCCTTATTTAGTTTTAACAATAAGTGGGTATTCCAAATTTGATAAATCTTATACTTAATCAATATTGTTATAAACTATTTATCTTGGGGTCATAATTTTAATGTGATGCTCCTTAACGACATTTTAAAATTCAGGACTAGCTAAGATAGATTCTAATTTTGTATTTAGTTCATCTCTCTAGATTAATGTCTGTAGGCATTCAATTGAGTCGATTACAGGTAATTAGGAATTTTCTTATATAAATTTGTCATAGTTTTATTAGAATAATTAAACCTCATTTTCTTTCATGTTTATTTCCTTATTCTTGTAGATATCCATAATTTTATGAAACAATAAATCAATTTGTATATATTTATTAAAAAATCTAAAATCTATAGGAAGGTAAGTAAAATTGTTGTTGCTAATTAATGTTTAAAATTGAATTAATTCATTAAACTTTTTAGGGTAAAAATAATATCCAACACAAAAAGGATTTTCAGACTTTGAAAAATATGACATGACTTAAAGAATGTGAGATATGTGAAATTTTGGTTTAGGATTTTGTTAGTAATATTTAAGTTCTAATTCTCTTTTTTTATCTAATTGTTATGAGATACTAGAGAAATAGTATAATTGATAATTCTAATTGAGAGTGAATTATTCATAATTATGAGTTACTACAATTAATTCTAAATTCTAAAATGAAATCTCTTTTAATTCTTGGATTGATAGTTTTTTAGAGTCGATTCCCTAAAAATTTCTTTGAAATTCATTGTAAAAAAAGTCATTAGTATTAGGTTTAGAGTGACAAAATATTACTTATATTTAAAAATGTGCTTATAGTAACAGGAATGATTTTTAAAGGACAGTATTATATTTATATACTTATTTTTGTCTCATGTCGTAGAGTGTATATCTGGAATCAATAATAAGCAGAGGTTTTTGATTTTATTACATTTTTATTTATTTATTATTTTATTTTATATAAATTATCTTGTTACTTAATTAATCATTTTTTCTAAGGATTCAAGAAATAATAATATTTTAAATGAATTCCAAGGATTAATTATATTTAAGTAAAATAATTGAATTACTATAGAAAATTTCTAGTAAATGTAATAGCGCATAAAAATTTTGTATATTAGAATGCACAATTACAAAATTAGTTACTTAGAAAAACAAAAAATTAGAGGCAGATCTTGTCAAGCGATCCTTGATCATCAAATATGTTTTTGTAAAACAGCAAAATATTGTAGCAGGACGTTTTAATTATTGGGCTTCATTTAAACAAGATATTTCTTAAATGAAAGGTTTTTCTTATGTTTAATATTTTTTAGGAATCTCAAAAAAATCAGGTTTTGATCTTATATGTTTGATTTTTTAAATAAAATTATTATTGTTATTTTTGTGTAAGTAATTAAGCACATCCATTAAATGAGATGTTAATGTATCATCAAATGTCTAATATATAAGTTGTAAATTTTACATGTTCTAAAAATAAATTAAAATAATTTTATTTATCTTTTATGTATTTATAGGGTCCATCTTCATTGATATCATCACCAAAATCTCCTAAATATTCATTCAAAGAAAAAATTAGAAAATGCAAAAATATATCTGATGAGATCTAAAATTTTTAAAGTTTTAATTTTAATTAATGTATAGTATTTTAAGGATCTTTCATTCTTATTAATTAATTTGATGCCCATTCTTTAAAAAAATTCATGATATAAATAAATGGATGTTTTTAATTACTTAGTACATCATTAATACAAGATAAAAACACATAGAATTATTATAATTAAGAATTTTGATTTTCTGGATACATACTATCTAAGATTTTAGATGATATTGATTAACTCTCATTGATTTTACCAACTATGATATGTTTTAATAAAATACTTGAATTATAATTTGTGGAAATTGTAAGATCAGATATTCCGGTACTTGATTAAAAATCTTGACGAAGATATTCATTATTTTTTCTATAAACATCATAATAAATTGAAATGAAATTACAAAAACACAAAACTTTATTGGAATAGCTTATCGTATTATTCATCTTTCATAGTCTTTGTTACTATTAATATGATACAGAAATACAAATTAGTTTCATTTTATGTCTAAAATTTTTCTATTCCTTTTAAACAAATCTATCCAAACATTTTATTAAAGGAACAGACCATTCTTCAGAAATGCGAGATAATTTCTCTTTCATTATAGATGTCCAATCATCCTATCTTAGGATTTGCTTTTTACATTTACACCTAACCAAACAGTGGAGATTAACTTTTCATCATTTTTTTAAGAGTTGCCCATATTTATTTAATATTTTTATTAATATCATCATAATAATTATTTAAGATTTTAATTAATATTATCATAATTATTATTTATGTAATTTACATTACAATAAAGATTATGCACAATGCTAACAAAAGAGTTCTAACATATCTAAATCAATTGAATTAATTTTTGATTCACTATGTGATGAAATATTACCAATACCCTTAACATTAATAACTTAGATTGCTCCAATAATTTAATGACTTTATGTTTTCAAAGGCATACAAATTATAGGCATATTTGTTTCAATATCAATATTTGGATTGAATATTGGATTAGTGTAACAATTACTAACAGCTACTATTTATTGTTCTTCAATACATTTACCAACTATTCCTAATAAATTTTAAGTTTCTGTCAACTTACCATCCTTATTTATATGATACAAATAATTATCTAAATATATAACCTTTGCATGATCAACATTCATTAATGATCTAAGACGCTCTTCAGATGAAAGTAGTAATTCTATCATATTATCCTGTTTTCCTTATAATATAATACCTGTTTTTATGATATGTCTAAGTTTATTTTAAATCAATATCTAAGCATCATGATTCAAAGCATTTTTAAGGACACTCTTACTAAATTCAGCCATTATCTATAGTAAAGCTTCATCAGCCTTAGTGAAGAAACCATTAGATTTATTGACACATTAAAGGACTCCAACACATTTATCACCATCTAGAATAGGAGAAATTAAAAGTGTCTTAGTTTTGTAATTATTCTTTGAATCTTATTATGTATTAAATCTTTAATCTCTATAAGCATCTTCAATATTTAAGATTGTATGATTCTATGCAACAAAACCAGCCAATCCTTGACCAATTTATAATCTAATAGTAGTAGAAGTTCCTTTGGCTACTCTTGTCCATAATTCTTTTTTAGCTTAATCCACAATAAAACATGATGCTCTATCACATTCCAAACAATCTATACATTTATCTATAATATTTTATAATGCATCATCTAAAAGTACAGATGTATTCATTTACAATGCTCCAGTAACAATCTTCTTTAATCTTAATACCAAAATAAATAATTATTAATGATCTGACATTATTCTTTTAAATTTATCAAATAGAAATGACAATTTCTAAGCAGATATTGATTATATAATTTCACTAAAGATCTCTTCAGAATCTAAGAGTACTTTCATTAAAGAAACTGTCCCATCTTAATTATATTAAGTAGTTGCATCTTCATCAGCTATTATAACTCAAATTCTTTAGTACATAATTAGATATTTAATATAGCATTTGTTCTGAAACAATCTTCTTATTGTAGTATATCATAAAAATTAGATGATCCTGAAGTATTTCTTTCACTTTTAAAAGTATCTACTTCTTCTTGATGGAACTTCATTAATGTAGGATTACGAAATGTCTATCTTCTGAATAATTTAATTGATTATGTATTATCATCTTATAATTTATTACTCTTTTTCTCAAGAGGCATTAAAGATTTATGATTCTTATTTTTTACATTTGATTTACTTCCTTAATTTAATTATCTTTCATCTCTTAAAATACTTAATTTAGTTTAATTAGCTTGCATCAAATATTCATTAATATGTGTTAATCGATCAATCTCTTTTTATTATAATTTAACTAAATCTTGTAATTTTCTTATTTAATCCTCCTTATTTTCCATAATAGTATGTAGTTTCTCTAATTCTTTTTATTAATTCTTATAATTATCATTCAATTTCTTAACCAAATTCTCTTATAAATCAAATTCTTTGCTTTTTGGAGATATCATCTAAGTACTACGATCTGTTTTAATTTTATATTTTTTGTTGTTTTCAAATATATTAGATTCTTATAATTTACTCATTTATTTAATAAACAAAAATTAAGACTAGTTGAATTAAAGAAATTCTCAAATTTAATCAAATTAATTACATTTTCCAGTTTTATCAAAGAGTGTTTGGAAATCCTGTTTTAATAATTCTAAATTCCATTTATTAATTGTTTCACCACTAAATTGTATAAATAGAACATTTTCATAATTTATAAAATTATAATTCACTATTTAAGAGGTTTCTTTTGTATTCAACTTTAATCCCCTTTTCTTCCCAAGTCTCGTTCCATCTCTCTATTACATACCCCAGAAATCTTTAAACATCTTCAATACAAACTCTAGGTAAATATAGACTTAAGAAACAAGTGACAACTGAAAAAGCAAATGCTAAAATGAAAGTGAAAAAGCAAGGCCAATATTTTACTATGACATCATTTACCTCATTGATAAAGGATTCAAAATCATCTTTTGTTATATAAGGTTCCAGTTCACTAGGATATTCATTAGAATATGATTTTGATGGACCTATAAAGTAATGCACTCCACTTGATTTAACTCTTGTTATTAAAATAAGTGGATGCTATTTTCTCCTGATACTTTCCATTTTAGCTAATTCAAAGGCATTGGCTCTTGGATCAAAGGGATATCTAGAATCTGTTTATAAATCACATGCTTCGTAACTCATTATTAATTTACAAAATATAAATAATGAAAAAGCATTCCTCTGAAAATTAATTGGATTATTGTGTTTTTTACAAAGACAAATAACTTCCAGCATTACATAAAACAGATGCATTTAAAAAAGCTTTAATTATAGATTCACTAAACAACTATGAACATCCATTAAATCAGTTAATTGAATAAAAGCAAACATTTGTACCTTTTATCAATGAAAGGGATAATTTAGGTAGATTGATATCAAGTGAATCTTATCATCGAAAAAGAAAAAGTGATGCATCCAGTATCTTTAATTCTCCAAAGAGTAGTCATCACTTTCTAAGTAAGAACTCAATTTCAAACACAAGTAGTTTGTATGAAAATTAACTGCCTATTACAAGGCTAAAATTAAAGAATCTTTTGGGAGGTACTCCAGAAAATACAGAATTAATTTAATCTACTTTATTAGCTAGTTAAAGCGAATTTAAATAATCATTTTAGTTCAATCCAAAATATAATCAGATATCTTAAAGAATACATAGAAAGAATAATAGTCTACAAAATAAATTACCTTAATTTTAAAAAGAATTAAAGATTCCTTAATTAAAATTGATTAAATAACCAACAACACCATAAGCTACTCGATTGTTTTAAAGTAATTTTGTAATTGAAATGTTTAATTAAAATAAGTATCATTCTTAAAAATAATAAAAGAATACCTGAATATAAAATGTAATATGTAATTTTAATGGAAAGTATGAGTAAATTTTAAATTGATTTACTTAAGAATATGACTACAAATGAAAGAAGAAGAACCTTCGTTAAGTTAGACAAGAATCGAAGATTTAAATTAAGTTTATTGTTACTAATTTCTAAACCTTAAACCTAGTATAGAATGTTATAATGATTTGTATATAATTTATATATGATAATAGTTTAATTGTTAATTAGTGTAGCATGTATTCACTTTGTTTTAGCCAAATATACGATATTTCTAGATACTAAATAAGTGTAAGAAAGTTCCTTCTTAATTGATATCAACTCTACTCAATAAGAACAAAACAAAACATTGGAATTACAAAACTTTTATAATTATTAATATGTAGGACAAATCAGAGTTCTTTCAAAAGACTCAATATTACAGTAAACATTATACTATGAATAGCTTCAAAGTAATTTTTGATACAGGTTCATCATAAATGTGGTTACCAAGTATTGATTGTTAAAGATGTAATAAAAATTAAATAGGAATTGTGTGTGAATAACCAACATGTATTCCATCATAAGAATAAGCTTCAATAACATATCATGTTGGAGCATTAATAGGAGTAAAATGTTTAGGTATGTTCTCAATAAATGAGCATTTTGATGAATCTCAGTTTATTTTAGTTGATGAAGTAACTGGAATGGAAGGAGCTATTTATGATGGAGTAGTAGGATTATAATAATAATCTAATCATTCTTTTATAGAATGGCCCATCAGTTTTTATTATAATTTTGAAAACTCTAATCGTTAATCATCAATAACTTTTGGAGGTTATGATGAGAATTTATTCAATAAAGAAATTAGATATGTTAAATCTGATGAATAATGGATCATTTCATCATAATAAATAGATATGAATGGGATTTTAGGAGTTGATATTTATGCAATGATAGATTCTGGAAGCTCATTATTGATCTTTCCTAAAAATATATTAGTAAATTTACAAAATGTGTTTACAAATTGTGTATGGACAGAAATTATAAAATGCTCTTGTCCAACAAATGATATTTCTGAATTTCCTACAATAAAAATTCTTTTAGATAGTTAAGAATTCTCATTAGAACCTTAATTCTATATTCATACAAATAATCATGAACCTATATGTTATGTATTAATATCAAATATTCGATCACATAATGACTAATTAATGATTTTAGGTAGTCCTTTTATGAGAAAATATTACACAATATTTGATAAACAAAATAGTTAGATTGGTTTAGTTGAATCAATACATTTTTAAGAATCTAATTCAAAGAATTTGCTTAAGAACTTCTTTACATTGATTGCATGTACAATTATAGCTATTGGAATTATAAAGATTGTCAATTATATTATGGAATATGAATTAAGAAAATACAATAATTAGAAATCTTTAATGGTATGAAATGAATCAAATTGCTATTATTTTTAATTCAAAAAATAATCTACTCAAAATATATTCTTAGAATCACACACATTTTAATATAATAAATTACAAAAAAATTATAAAAAACTATCAACAACAACTTTTTTTGTCATCCTTTTCTTTTTCATTTTATTTTCCATTCAATGTTATATTGTAATATGGAGATAAATTATTTTAAGATTTACTCTTTTTTTTCATTTTTCCATTAAAATTTACTTTAATTCCTAACATCTATTTTTATTAAATAATTTACTTAATCATCTAAATTAATTTATTTCGTTTCGATTTTTCTTAAAATTTTATTAGCTATACTTTCAAAGACAACATCAACATTTTTGCCTGTTTTAGCTGAAGTTTCATAAAAATCTAGCTTTTCTTATTATGCATATTCTTCAACTTCTTAAATTGTTACATCTTTCTTTGATAAATCCGATTTATTGCCAACGAGTACTAATTCAATCTTATCACAAGAAAAGGTCTTAATTTCTTTTAACCACTTTTTAATGTCTTCAAATGTTGATCTTCTACTAAAATCAAATACAAGTAATCCTCCTATGGCTCCTCTATAATAAGATCTTGTGATGGATTTGAATGAATCTTAGCCTGCCTTTCAAATTTTAGTCAATATTTTTACTGTATCCCAAATCTAAAGCTTTATCATTTAATCATTTAATTTTATTGTTTTATAGCCAAATTCAACACCAACTGTGCTTTCTGTATGATCACAAAATTTGTTTTCTGTAAATTACAATAATAAACATGATTTTCCTACATCTTAAATAGTTTAATTGATTTTATTACTTGTATCACCAACTACTATAAATTTGAACATATAGTTATAATCATTGCTCATTTTATTTAATAAAATAAAAACCAAAACAATTTTTGATTTTATTATATATACAATAAGAACAATTTTTTATATATTTTTATTATAACCTTAAGATAAGAATGAGTTAAACTATATAATATTTGTATTATTGACATAGATCAAAATTATTCCAAGTAATTTAATTCATCCTCAATTTATTGAATTCTTCTTTATTATGCTGAAGTTCTATTTTAAGATGGTATTTATCTTAATTCATTTTTTAATTAAACTTTTCTTTAATTCCTTTAATTTTCTTCATTATTTTAACTTAATAAAATAATAATATTACCTTTAACTATTAGATGGATATTATTATGATTATAAAAATTAACTCTAATTAATAGATGGTTATTGTATTTATGGTGAATTAGAAAATGATGACATTGAAAATTATTTTAATTGGTAATTTTCTCTTTAAAGTTCTTAGATGATACCTTGAGATTAAATAAGTCTAGTTTATGCTTCCTAATATAATTATTTAGTATATAAATACTTTTAATTCAATTTCAAGTTTATTTTTTTATTACTAAATTATCACTAATTATTCTCTATAGATATATATTAAATTCACTATTACTTAATTTGAAGTGATTCCATAACTATATCAGGATTAGAGTTTTAATTGAACATCATTTTCAATTTCTTGAGCTCATCAAAAGTTTTCTGATATTGAGATTATAAATTTAAAATATTTGAATTTTCCTACTGATAAGACATTTGTTATTGTGAATATTATTTTTCAATCATTTGTATTTGTTATTTTAACTAAGCATTTTCTTGATTTTTTTTCTATTAAAATATTGATCATACTTAAAGTTCAGAATCTTTTTCAATGATAATATTTTTTAAATTATTAATGGTTTAATCTTAAAATGCAATAATCTACATTTGCAATGCATAATTAGAATCGTCTGCTTGATTGTTATTTTAAGGTATGTTATTATTTTTCTTATCACTCATTATCTACAATATTATTGGCCAATTCAATAATAAATAAGATTATAATCTATACAAATATTTGCCGCTTTTAGTTAATATTTAAATTATATCATCAAAAAAGTCTTATGCCAAAAGGAAAGTAAACCAAATAAGAACAAGTTAAATAAACAGAAGTTGTTGACAAAAAAATAAAAAAG